CAAGAGGTAGAGGAGGAGATGAAGAAGGGCGATGCGGAAAGGATGAAAAGGAGAACGCGAGGCAGAAGCCTGTTTGAAACATCCCGACGGCGGCGGTTCAAGATGGCGTCCACGCTCGGTGGTTTCCCGTTTTCTCTTATTCTCTGTCTTCTTCTCTCGGCTTAATTCCCGATACTGTCAGCCGACCCTTACCATCTTGTCTTTTTTTGGTGCGCGTTACACCCATGGAATACGTAACGCGACGCGTGATATACACACGTAGAACGCATCTGGAGCGCGCCATGCCCGATTCTACGTTTGCTTTCGCTTATACGCGTGCGTACGTACTTGAATGCGTGCGTGAGTGCGTGCACATAACGGTATCGAGCACCACCGAAAGACACATGGCCACCCCTCGGTCACGGATTAGCATATCAATCCCCTCGTTATACGACCCTGTCGATCTCCCATTCCCTCTTTCTCCCGCTCGATATGCGCCATTAACGTTTCGCACGAATACACAGCCATTGTTACCTTCAATCGCGGCTGTACTTGATATCTCGGACTATAGGTAGTCATAGATTTTAAGGTAGTTCTTTAGTAAATCGAGTTACCATTTTTAATTTTTTTTTATATAATGAAGTTGAAGTACCGAAATTGACGTGTGCAAAATTCTACGATAGGATAACGATCAAATAAGAGAGAAAAAAATATTGAAAATGTAACCTCTCACGTATAACTTAATGACAGATAAGACTCACAGACGCTTCTTTGACTAATTGCACACAAATCTTACTACAGACTTTTCTCAGAAACGAGATTATAATAGTTTAAAAAATTATGATTTTAATGGTCACAAAAAAGTATTAGGTCAACGGCCATTCTGGAAAGACGTGCATAAACTTGCATATAAATTTAACCTCGAAAAGTAAACATAATTTCATCTTGTTTTTGTTCGTTGAAGATGCAGCTCTTGATTTACTATCTTATGTTCCATACTATATCATTAAGATATACACGTAGTTTTAATATTTTATCGAAATTATGCAGATATTTGTAATTTTAAATAGGCCCTAGTGAGGCACCCCAAATTTTCGGCACTTTACTAAAGAACCACCTTAAGTTTGCAGTTCCATTTGATACGCGAATTTTAGCCAATTAAAAATTTTGGTTTAGCTCGGTCTATCGCATCTGAACTCTCTTCGACGCGATGTTTAGATACTAATTCCAAATTATAAACAAGCGGAGACTATGTTTTATTTAAAGAAGTAGAAAGCGACTCTATAGCGACGTTAACGGGAGATTAATGTAATCCTTATGTCCGACCATAATAAATATCAATACCACTAATAAATATCGTCGACGGATTGCATTAATCTATTGCGTCTGGTATTATATGACTGCCGTATTATACTACTACCACATTAATGTTGAAATACGATATTAGCTGGCATATACATTAATGAATAATGAAGTTTTTGCGCATAAATCTTACGAACAAGATCATCAATATATAGTGATCTCTTTCCGTTTTTTTTTATCTCATTGGAATAATCACATGTATCATACATACGCAGAATGTTTTAAACTGTTAAAAATGTTACAAAATTACACGATAAATGTAGGTCATTGTAGGTCATCAAATTTTTTTAATACACTGAAAAAAAGATTGACTGCTGCAGTAAATTAGATGGTAAAATATGGCATAGTATTTTTAATTGGCTATAGCAACCAATTTTTGGTTGCGTTAGTCTATCTGCAATGTCAGTACAGGATTTCGATAGACTAACACAATCAAAAATTGACTTGCAACCAATTAAAAATGCTATGCCATATTTTACCATCTAATTTGCTGCAGCAGCCAATCTTTTTTTTCAGTGTAGCAAAGCATGTTTGGTTGGCAGGATTAGGAAGTAACGCATTACTTGTAACGCCGTTATAATTTTCGTTATTTTTTATGGCAACATATTTAACTAACCCTGTATATACTCAACGTAAATTATAAATTTTCAGTATTGGTAATGAATATTAAAATGTTATTAATAATAATATTAATGTTTAAAATCAATATTTAATAAAAATTTTTAATAAAATCTGCGTATGTATAAATTACAATTTTATTTCCTAAAGATAAGCATATATTAAAAAATAAAAATATTAGTATAAATAATTATGAAAGATTCGTTAAATAATTTTAATATAGAGAAAAACTTGCTATATAGAGATTAGCGTTTTAAGTTTTAGTATACAAAAAATAAATCGATATTTTCTAAATTAGGAAATGGTAACATTACATTTTAAAATCAGTAAAAAGTAACGGCGTTATTTTTATAAAGTAACGACCCAATCCTGTTTGGACGGACATAATAGGCCTGTTCTTTTTGGCTGAATTTTTGCACCAGTTCATCTTTCTTCCTTTTCTCTCCAGGAGGAAAGAAGAGGAAGAAAGATGAACTGGTACAAAAGTTCAGCCAAAAAGAACAGGCCTTATGTAACACTACGTAATACACTAAACAGTTAAAAATATTATTATTGAATCTTATTTTTTCTTAACTAGTTATAACAAGTGTCACCATTTTAAGTTCAATATAAAACATCGTTGTGGTAAGTATTACTGTATTTAAAAAGAATCGCTTTTGCCATGGATTATTACTGTACGTGTGTGTGTGATCATTTTCAGGATATAATCACATATAGCGATGATCCATAACAAGAAAGTCTCTTTTTGTTCGACAGATGCTTCATGCAATATAATCTCTAAATGATCATAAATAACCTCAATGGACCCAAACCAGATGAACAAACAGATTATGGAATAAACTTATGGCGTCCAATTTTTTCAAAGACAACAATAGAATCTTTAACGGTTTCTAGCGTTCTATAACGATGCTTGTAACTGCATATAATGTTTTGTATAATGTTCTTAATAAAAACATTTATATTGTAGTGTCTCATGTAGCACAGACTTTCAAGGGATCTCCTAAAGATGTCCATAGACATTCTCAGCACGTCTCTCAGAAAAAGTGTACTATGTGGGACGCATCTGCCGTCTCATTTTGTAAAATTTTGTCTGAAACGCCCTATATGTACAAAGTATTTCGTAAAGATCGTAATAATGCGTGAGAGCAGAATTTTGGGATTATTTTTTGGGATTATTAAGTGCTTATAATTAACTCAAAAAGTGTTATAGTTTTTTGATATTAAAGAATTTTTTAAATAAAATCTTTAAATAATCTTAAGAATTTGCTTTTATAAGCGTTATTACAATTATTACAAGACACTCTGTATATGTATATAATTAATCTTATTTATGTTCGTTTCTACCAATGTAGATAAATTTTAATCTCGGTTCAATTTATTTTTTTATTTTTTTCTAATTGTTAGAATTAGAAAAAGATGAAGAGTAAGTTGAATCGAGATTAAAATTAAATTACATAATATATTTTTTTATATATACATAAAAGAAAATTAATTAATATACATATATATTTACGTTAATATATAATATTATGTATTAATTATGTAAATATACAAGGTGAGTCACTTAAGACCGACCACCCAAATAACACTCACAGTTTTGGAAATAGGAAAAAATGTTTCAGATGAAAGTGGAACGGTTTCAAAGGGAACATATTTTGGTCATATTGTTTTTCTTCTAGATGGAGGGGTCAAAAAGATATGAAGGTCACCTCCTTTTTTTTAATGGAATTATATAATTTTTTTTACGAAATATGATTCTTCTAATTATTCTGCATGTAAAAGTATCAAGGTAGAGATATAAAAAAAAAACAGTAGTTTACGAGATATTTTATACTTTATTGTGATACATATTGATATAAAATGTTAAACAATTCATAACCTATTAATTTTTTGATAATCGTACCTTAATACTTTTATGAACAGAATAATGAGATGAATCAATTGGTGGAAAGAAAACACATAGTTGCTTATCTAAAAAATTATCCATTTTGAGTGCATACATATTTTTTTTAAAGCAACTGTGTATTTTTCTTTCATCACACAATTGATTCATCTCATTATTCTGTTCATAAAAGTATTATGGTACGATTGTTAAAAAATTAATAGTTTATGAGTCATTTAATATTTTATGTCAATATATGCCAGAATAAAGTATAAAATATCTACAATTCCATTTAAAAAAATGGAGATGACCTTCAAATCTTTTTGGCGCCTCCACCTAGAAGAAAGACAATACGACCAAAACACATTTCCCTTGAAACCGTTCCACTCTCATTTGAAACATTTTTTCCTCTCTCCAAAACTGTGGGCGTTATTCGGATGGCGGGTCTTAAGTGACTCACTCTGTATATACATATAAAATGAATACTTATGAAAAAAAGTAAATACGTTTTTTGTCTTGCGTGTCTAGTCTATAAAGTGTCAGGAGTATAACATTACAATGACGATAATATCTTTTTTATAAATCAAGACTATATCACGCTCGAGCAAAGTGCAAATGAGACGATTATTACTGACTACGAAATAAGCAGAGAAAACAATGAGGATCGCCGCGTCACGCGAATGCATCTTCGAGCGAGACCGTGATTCTTCTCACGCCGCAATCCTTGTAAGAAATATCAATCTTGCTTAACGCGTCACGAGAATGCTAATGTCAAGTCGCCACTGACATTACTTTATTAATTCTGTATACCATTTACATCACGTACTACACTCGGAACCTAGAAAACGTTCGTGTATCAGATAATCTTAATGTAATTATCAATCTCAATCAAACGGTTGATTTTATTAATCACAATTCTAAATCTTATTAAATATTTAATGATGTTAACAAGATATTCGATATTACTTGGGGTATCATACTTTCTACATCACGCAAATGGCAAATAATAGTAGTAATTATTATTATAATTGGCTCGTTAGAGACACGATAGAAGCAATTCCGACTGAAGAATTTCTGAGTTTGATTGAAAAAATCATTTGATTCGATATTTATATGATGAGATCAATATAAGATGTTCATTGAGCTTTTCTGAACTTACCTGAGTTTCGGTCAATGATAACGCTTGCGCCAACTGTTTTCTCTCCGCGCCGACGACGTAGTGATTTTTCTCGAAGGCGTGTTCCAGCTTAAGCAGTTGGCTTGGACTGAAGGCTGTTCTTATTCTCTTCGGCTTCCTGAAGGGTTGAAGTAAGAAGCCGGGTATGTCGGGACCTGAGACGAACAATTTTAATAAAATTTCAAATTTCAAAAAATTTTAGGAAATTTTAAACTTTGTGTTTCGAGTTATAATATTTAGATCTAATCTGAGGTTATTTTAACAAGAATTGGTTATAATAGCGGTATCATTTTGAAAAATTAAAAGATGAGAAAAAGATGCAATAAAAAAAATAAAAAAAAAAGAAAAAACGAAATTACCGAAGTTGATAAGATATCATTAAGGGGGAAGGTAAATGTTGAATCTAAATAATGAATCAGCGATATGAATCGCGCGATGTTAGTAAGAACGCGTAATTCACTGTCGACAAATTAAAATGGTAATTTAATTACCCGAGGAGCTGCCGGTATAAAGTTTCAGGCGGTTCGGACGGTTAACATGAGTGGGGGAACGGAGGTCGCGATTTATTAACGATTAATTAATTGTTAAACGCCAGGACGTCATCCGACTAGTGTCCGTATATACCTCATAGAGGCCTCGCCTTGAAAATAAATAATCGTCACGCAAGCCACGAATTCGTTCACGAACTGTAGGGTCGTGCGTGCCGAATGGGAGAAAGAGAAACACCTACTCGTAGAGGCAGAGAGAAGATATACAAAGTCAGGAACTCTGGGCCAGGTAATTGAGTATTCTACCACGAAAGAGCCATGTCGATCGGCCGATAGCCACGTATGCCGGAAGTCACCCGAGATGCTTTAGCGGAAAGCTCGGAACGATAAATCGCCACGTCGCTCGCACAGTTTTCCTACGGCGTGTGACTATACTTCGACTATATGTTATATGGAGTGTTAATCCAATTCTCAGCAATCAATTTTTAAAATCGTTAAAGAGATATCGCAGAGATACTGAGTTGAAATCGAACTGCTAGAAATCGAAAGTTTGACAAGAGACGTTTGTGGACACTCAGAGAAAAAAATCATAGTAGTGGCAACTATATGAGTGACAATTATACAAGTTTTATAATATATAATATACAAGTAAAAATTACATTGTAGAATTAATGTATGTAGTTAAATAAATTATTTTATTCTTGCAATAATTACAAAATAATTGTTAATAAAAGAATCAATCGTTAATGTACATAGTTGAATAAACTATTTTATAATCATTGCAACTATATGTACTATTTTATAGTTTATTGAACTATGTACATTAACCCTTCTGTCAATGCACGGATACTTGAGTACTTATATCAAATTTTAAACAGTTTAAAATTTTTTATATTTTTGTGTGAATTTCGTTATGAATTTTATGACGTCTCAAAAACTTAATTCTTCGATCAATAAAGAACAATTTCGCACAGACTTTATCATTTTCACATTTACATTTTTTGCGAGAATCTTGTGAAACACGATAATAATACGGTGAAAAATTATGCACTGACGCTGTAATTCCACGTAATATAAAACTTGTATAGTTATCCTATATAAGTTACTACCATTATATTTTTTCCTGAATGCAGATTCAAGAAGAATTTGATATGCATATGATTACGCGATAATAATTTTATGCTATACGTACGGAAATTCAATGTGAGGCTAAGAATCTGGGAAAGAGATTCTTGTACAATTCGAAATAAACGTAACAAAGTTTCAAACTTCTTTCCATCCTTCCCCCTGACGATCTCCGACATCAATTAGCATTTGCATGCACCTTCCGTGTTATTATTCATTGCGGTTTCTAAATTACAGCGTCAGCGCGCAAAGTGATCTAAATAAGTCACGCGCAGTAGGTTATGCAGCTAGTAACCGGTACGTACACGCGACCAGCCGCAACGGTGAATCGTATCATTTGCATTGCGAAAAATTTATCCGTTAGGATCTTCGCGGCTGAAACTGACAAGTTAATAGCTGGATAGAGCAGCGACTGCTATATCCCCTAGCCATCTGTACATTTCCCATATTTTTTGCTGGCCAGCGGATTCTCAATTGCAGCATTAGAGCTGACAAAGTGATTGAGAAGTAGGTTAAATGCATCGACCGATAGTATTGCAATCGACCAAATAAATCACTACATTTAATGTTGTCGATACGTGAGTACCTGCGATTTTGGGTAACGAGTAGCTATATTGATATCCGGATAGAGATTCATATCTAACAGCATTAATCCCATTTGCATTGGGAAAGAATCCGTCATACTTATAATCTTTGTAGATGATTTTATAGGCCTGTCATTCCAAGTAGCCTTTCATCACGATATTAAATCGCACTTTTCTCATTTTGAGAAATGAAAGATTCGCGTGAAAAAGGATGATTAAACTCCAATTGAATCATTCTGTTTATCTATCGCGTTTTTTCTTGGATTGATTCAAGAGAAAAAAGTATGAAATTTTTTAATAAAATTAATTAACTGGCATGCCTCTTTGAACATCGGACTTTAAGTATATCATTGTTTTGCTCTACAGCTCATTTCTCGTTGTCACTCTTCAAACTCACGTTCTCGCAAAAGGATCGCGAAACAAACGCTTTAATGAACACATCGCATACATGAACATGTACTGCTTAAATAGAACGTGTTTCTACGTGCGAGCGCATTCTTGCAAATCGCGCAATGAAGGTTGATCCTTGATGGGATCAAAGCGCCTCGCGTGAGAATAGACGCGTTAATCAACGCTTTCTCGAGGTGGCGATAACGTAGTCGTTTCCACCTAATCCGGCATAATTTGCGTAATCCATGTAAATCCTGGCAAACGAATTTGAAGAAATGCTGTATTGCAAGTGCTTTACTTTGTCTTATATTTACAGAGTAACGTTATTATACAATATTTTTACAATGTTACTATAATAACTGTATTTAAAAATAAATTCATAAGTTATTAACTGTTATTAATTAATAAACATTATAACAGCAGCTTTGTTGCCGCCTTATCATTTGCATGTGCAAATAATTCTGAATTCTTTCTCTCACTTTTTTTATGTCTTTTAGTTATGAAACTATTATTACTAATTATTACTAATTACTATTAGTATATTGATTTTATATATTGGATTACAGACATTATAGATTTTAAATAAAACAATAACAGTTAAGTAAGAGATATTGAGAATCAGAGCAGTAAACAATGCACAATTCTTATAATAAAAACTCTTTAATAATAATTGGAAGATATATATATATATAAAATTGTCGCAGATGCTAATCAGACGTTTCGGCTTCAATTTGAGTCATCTTCAACAAACAAAATTATGTCAATTTAAATCATCTTCAACGAATAAAATTGATTAATATTATTATTGTATTTACTATAAATTAGGGTTGCCATATCCATGTTCTTTTCTCCCCGGAGATGTTCAAAAAGATTTTCTAAAAGTCCTATCCCAAGTAATTACTGCTCATAATTATCCTAAACGCTTTTGGAAAATCCTCTCCAATCCCCGAACGTCCTAAACAAAAGAAAAGAGAGCGACGGGAAAAGAGGACAGATCCTACTATAAATACGGATTTTATATATTAAAAATATAATAAAAATTATTATTTTGTAATACATTTTGATTGCAATTTATTAATCTGTCTCAATAAATCTAACACTTGTAACATATAATGTATTTTTTTTACACAACAGAGGGCGCGTTCAGATAAATGTAAAATTATGTCGAGTTACATGAGCGAGCGATTCTCTGCAGGTACACGGCTAATTACAGCGACGGAATAAAGGATCATTAGCGGCGCGCCCGTGCGTGAAGCGATCGCTATTTATGTGGGTAATGAATAGTAATGCGATGACTCTTACTGCGACTGTACTCGGTCGCGATTTTGAATGCGCGACATATGTTGCATACCGCGACTATGGTCCGCAACTATGAGGCAACAATCGTATTTTGCTAATAATTAATCAGCTAGCAGGACGGCTAAAATTACGCTTAACGACGCGAGAAAACTTTGCAAACAGCGCACAAATGTGATAAATAATTACCCGCGCTTTTGTAACTCTCGATCAATAGCAAACAGGAATTATTGAAAATTTATTATCCAAGGAATTATTGTATCTATAGGAAACAACCGTTTTGCTATATTTTAATGTAATTTAATTATACACATATTATGTATGCAATTCAATTTCTACTATTATTTTCGACTTTTAAGATCCTTAAACGAGCTAAAGTAGAAGATTGCGATCGCTGGAAGGATCTTATAATCCGAAATGCGATCTTCATGAAGGTGGGCGATGCGCGATCGATTCGCGATCCCTATCGATCCCATGGCGGGATCGCGAACGGGCGCTTCATCGTTAGCGGTTCCCTAGGAACTTCCTAGACATCGCCTGGAGCGACGCGCTTAACTCGACCATTGCCGTGTAGTGAAGAAGCGAAGAAGAAAGAAGGAGAAGGAGAAGAAGAACAAGAACAAGAAGAAGAAGAAGAGGAGGAGGAAACCCCGACAACAACGAGGACGACACAGCACGGAGAAACGAAGAGCCGAGTCGGACGGCCTGTAATTACGGGAAGCTTGTGCTGCGGCTTTCGCAGCTGAGACGCCCAGAGCGACTCGAAATTACTCAAAAATAAGACCAAATGGTAAACGTATCAAATTATATCCCCTCCTCCCTCTGTGCAGCCTGCCAAGCTTCCCTCGGGTTCTTTCTCTCTCTCTTTCTTTCCTCTCGCCTTCTCTTTGCCTTTCCTTCATTTCTCTCTGTCTTTCTTTTTCTATCTGTGGTATCGCATTTCGCCAGTAAAAACCGCTCCCGCACGCCACCGCATCGCACTAATATGTTTTTAATTGTCGCTAAGCGTGCGACGAGACGCACGAAAGCAACGATGGACGGCGCACTGCGAAACAGGTGAAAATGCAAATAAGGGAAGGTGGATGCGCCGGCGTTTGGTGAGCTGGAGTTAATATATCCGGTGAGAAAACGAGCCTCGACTTCCGAAGAAGGCAAAACTCTTTCTCGGCTATTAAACGGTACAAAGGCGATATTAAATATTTGAAAAATGTATAGATACAAATTAAAATAGCGTCAAGGATTGCCAGATATCAATCCTCATTGCGAAACCCT